CGGTGTGTGAACCTGACCTGCACAACCCAGTAGAAAGGGGAATAGGGTGCTTCTCCTGAGCGAGACATAGCTGAAACCTCGCCTTTTTTGTGTAGGGCTTCTTGTGTTTGATGTAATTATCGGGCTGGTGGGGGAGGGGGGTTTAAAGCCAAACTTCACGCTCATATGTTTCTTAAAATGAAACTGATTTATGGTATGTATAGCCCATTTCAGTTAAATATAATGCTGCATAAAAATGGTCGTAGAGCATTTTACTAAGTTGGGTCTGTTGCAGGTGTCCAAGTCAGCCTCACCCAACCTGGTGCCCTTTGTGAATTTTGGGCTTCTGTTCCCATCATAGCTTCTCATGCAGGCTGGTGCGGATGGGAGTTGAAGTCCAAAATGTATGGAGGGTACCAAATGAGAGATGTTTGTTACAAGCTCTCAGATTAAGTGCTGGTTTTGCTGATTTTTGTGTAAAGTTTCCAACTAGGGTCACATCCTTGTCTTTCCCTGTTTAAACCTTTCTATGCGTTAAGTTTTCCTCTTGTCCCATCTGTCCCACTTCAGAGCCTGCCAGATTCTTGATTATTTCTTTGTGTATGACCAATTCCCAGATACAACTACCCATGTCTCAGACTGGCCTGTGATTCAGCAACCCCCAGGTAGCATATGACCGTGTTCCAAAATGTGGGAATCCCTGCCACTGTTTCAGAAGTGTTGATCATGGTTCATTCAGGTAAAGCTGGGCATTTTGCACTTCCTGTTCCTCTAGAATAAACAGGAAAAGGTTCTTGGGTTTGTTTGTCTTTTTAAAATCTGGCAGGCAGGTAGCACTTAACCTGATTTTTTTTGGCTTTCTGTCTGTGTACTTCCAAAGATTGTTGGAACCTAATTTTAGCTACTTGTATATGTTGGAATCTGTATGGGTGTGAGCACAGTGGCATCCATCCCCCATAGTCAAAAATGAGGTAAGGAAATGTCCCTGTGAAAGCCAGTCATTATCTTTTTATCTCTTTGCTTGGAAGGGATTGATTGGCAGCTGGGCAGAATTCTGGGTTCTGAGTGACCTCATTGCTGCTGTGGCATAGCAAAGGAATCGAGTTTCCTTGAGCTTGTATTGGCCTCTGGTAAGACTGCCAGTGCTCGTTACCGGTTCACTTTGGATTCAGATTTGACTGCTCATCAGGAGTCAACAGGAGAGGCCTGTCTCTTCTTGGGGTTGCATTCAGAGCTGTGTGTATTCCATGCAGAAATTGCCAGTGGAGAGGATCCAGCCATCTCAGGGATTTCTCAGCTTCCATCAATAATGTTGAAAAGGCTTGAAAATATCTAGGCAGTGCCTGATGAGAGGACAGGAACCGGAAGAACGACCTGGGTGCCATACTCCATGAACAGAAGGGGGAAAAACCAAGCAAACTGTGCAAATGATTTGCAAATCTATGCAAATGACACAAGTCACAGATCAATGTTGCCTGATGCAGATTTCTCCTTTATTTAGGACAAAATGTACATAGTCCTTGGAGAGGTTTTGGTTTAGAAAAACAGCAAGTGAAGGGAAACAAGATACGAAGTGATGCAGGGTGTGGAGAAGGTGGATTGAGGGAAATTTTTCCCTGTCTCTTATGAAACTAGAACCCAGTGTCATCCTGTGACGCTAATTGATGGGAAAGTCAGGTCAAATAAAAGGAAGGGCTTTTTCATATAGTGTGTAGTTGAACTATGTACTGATGCTACAAGATGTAATGATGGCCACCGATTTGGGCAGAGTTAATCTGCGGCAAAGATTCCAAAGGCGGCCTCTTCATGGCATGTCATAATTGCAGCAGCGACTGTGCAATAGGCCAGTTCCAGCTCTGTTCAGAGAAAATGAGCCTTCCTTCACTTGAACTGGACTACTGAGTTGTGCTGTGTGTGGTGCTTTCAAGGGTGGTTCAGAAATTGGTTCAGGATCCGGCCACCTGAGTGTTAATGGGAGTGAGGCAATTCAGTCGTATATTGTCTATTCTGTGCCAGCCACACTGGTTACCACTGTGTTGCCAAGCCCAATTTAAAGTACTGATTTTGATTTTCAAAACCAGGAATAGTTTGGGGCCAAGTCAGTTGAAGGACCACCTTCATCCTTATCAGCCTGATCATCAAGAAAGGTCCCAGATATCAACCCACCTGTGGGAGTTGGATGTGGATGACCATATAGGAGAAGCCTGTCTCTGTAGTGGCCCCACACCTTTGGAATAAGTTGCTGTCTGGAGTCTGCTGTGCTCCATCATTTTACCTTGACCTTCTCCTGATAGAATTACTGAAGAATAAGTTGTTTGTGCTGCTGCTTTTATCACTGGTTTTTCTTGCTGTTTTCTTGTGTTTTTGTTTCTATTATTTTTACTATCTCACGGGCTTTATTGTTGTAACCCTCTTTGGGAGGGCTTCTCCCTGAAAGTTAGCCAAGTAATATATTAAATTTTAAAAATTAAATAAAAGAACAAAGGAAATTGCTGATAGGATGATACCATAAACATTCAGAATGTTCTGCCTCCAGCAAGGTGCAATAGGTTTATCTCTTCATTGCAGCTGGTGTTGGGAAAAGCCCTGGAATTGTCCTGATAGCAAAACCACATAGCATGGATGTCAAACATCTTTTAGTCCGAAGGCTGAATTCCATTTTGGAGAGGCCTTGGGGACTTCATTACCATGGTGGGAGAGCCAAAAGCAAAAGCGGATGGGGTCAGAGTATCAATATCAACATATTTTAGCTGTGAGCTCTTCCTGCCTGTAGCCTCAGGAGTGGTTTTTCAGCCATTTAGAATGGGGAGAAACTTGTAAAAGCTGGAAAGCCATCAAATACTTTGAAGAAGAGGAGTGGGGTCAGGGAAGGAGATGTGACTTTCTGGAGATCCCCAGATGTTTTCCAGACTACAGACCTACTGTATGTGCTTGTGAACTTCCCTAGAGCATTCCTCACACTACAAAAGTGATAGCATTGGTGCATATCTAGCTTGAATAATACTGGATCAAAGTCCAGTACCACTGATCTTATTCACCTTTCTTGATTAGCATTAGGTCTCTTCTTGGCTACTGCCCAAGTGGATACAGTGAGCAGATGCAAGGCTTATATCTGCCTTTGAACTGTGTTTTAAATCTATGGAATACTGCAGAGCAATTGGCTGAAATCAGTCAGCATAGACTAATGAACTGTAAACCAGAAGCTAAAATGATACCACTGACCTTCTGTGGCCTATTCCTGGGATGATTCCATTAGTCAATAAAATGAGGATGATTGCCGCACAGGAAACTGGAGTGATTGTGGACAAGACTGAGAGTTGCAATATATGTATACAGGGATGTGTGAATCCATAAAACTCGCATTTGTCCAAGTTCTTGAAATTACATCTGGAAGCTTGTTCCAACTCAAGTCTATATCAGATTGCAAGCTGTGTGTGTATACGTGTGTTTTCCCTTTCTGCATGAAAATCTATGTGTATTTTCATTTGGTCCAAATGTGCACATCTTTGAAATGTATACATTCTCCTCCGGTTGATTAAAGTGTTTGTACCTAGAAGAATTTTGCAAACAGTAAAAATTGACTGCAATTTAACTTCTTTTGAGATGTAAACAAGGGGAGATTCTCTTGTCTAGTAGTTTGCTTTTCTTAGCTGGTCACAAAGGATTGTTTAGAACTTAGAACAGGGATAGGAAGCTTCTGCCCCTCCAGATCTTGTTGGACTACAGTCCCCATCACTCACCACTGGCTGTGCTGGCTAGGGCTAATGGGAGATACAATCAAACCACTTCTGGAAGGTCACACATTCACCTCATTTTAGGAGGTACAGCTCCCCCTCCCAGCAATCTGTGGGTAGCTTGTTCTTTTTGAAGAAACTTATTTTTAAGTAGGTCTGCAGGCCTAGAGTAGGTGAGAACAACCTTTTGGGCAATGAGGGTTCAACACAGGAGTCACTTTCCCTGTAGTGGTGGATTAACGGCCCTTCTCTGGGGCCAACCTTCCAGTTATGCCCCATGCTGCAGACCCTTCAGATACCTGAAGCAGTCCAGCAAGAAGCTTCTTGCTTCTCCCTGCCCAGTTCAAACCTTCCTAAGAGCTTCATTGCTGACTGTCCTTCTTTGGACATGCCGTGCCAACCTGACCTGCTTGTTGACTAATTCTGGTTGCCACCGCATAAAAATGGGCGAGCTTCTCAGTTACATAGAACTCCAGAGGACAGAATGACAACTTGAGAAACTTCCCTGAGCAAACCAAGCTGAATAGAAATGAAGTCATGAATAGAAATGAAGTCATTTTGGTTCTCTACTGACTATGTTAAACTTCTAAACTGCATTCTAGACACCCTTGAAATTCTTCTGTAAGAACTTCAGTAGCAGTGGACAAGTGTCCTTGAGGATTGTCCTCTGTTGTAAATTTTCCCCTACAGGAAAGTAGTGAGTGTGTTAGGGTGTAGTCCTAGTTTACATGAGGTAGTAAGGAAGCCCGGAGCCCCAGCTGAACTACTTGCACCTGAGAACATGTCCCAGAATCCTTAAGAGTGCAGATGACTTCCATAACTGATCTTAGATGTTCTTCAGAAAAGACCTGGTGCTGTGAAAGGTGTGTTCCTTGAACATAGAAGGTTCTAGAAGGCTTGTGGGAAAAGAAACATGTGCATATAGGGATGGTGTTGTGCTGGCAGCTTGCTCAGTTTCGGAGGCCATGAACTAATACTGTTCGCTCTTCGTGGTGTTGTGCATTTTTGCAGAAGGCGTTTTATCTCCCAGCGCTGCTCTCTAGAGTTTTTAGAAGACATAGTGGAATGTGGCAGTGTCCGAAGGTATTTGTTCAATAGCAGCATTAACCTCCTCTCGTTGCATGCTCTACAAGTCCTTCCCCCCTGCACCCTCGTCCACACCAAATACCTAAGGCCCTGCATGCGTGCTCGTTCTGACTTTTAATATTGGGATTTTTTCTGTTATCCATCACTTGATTGGTTGCTGCCCACATCTCTGACTTGCCTCTCCCCCTCCTTAAATTGTAGAACCAAGCACATATCTGGATCTCCAAGACACAAGGGCTTGAAGAAGATACACTTCATCAAGAACATGCGGCAGTATGATACCAGGAATAGCAGGTACCCCTTTTCTTAGCTGGCCAGTGGTCCTGTACTAGCAATGGTCTTCAGGTATCATCATGTCCACAAGTGACCAGGGTGGATTTGATTTAAATCGTGATTTAAATCACTAGTCAGTAGAACTAGATTTTAATCATAGTTTTTTATATAATTTGTAACATGCCTCCTTTACCTGTACATAGAGGAACTTTATTAAAATATTCCCAAACTGGGTATCTTTTACAGTCTGCTGCCATTATAGGTTTTCTCCTCTGGGGAAAAGATAAGGTGTTAAACCTCAGACTATACACGAAAAGATCCAAAGACTTGGGGAGTATTCTGCTCAAAAGGGTTCATTTTTATTTTTATTGCTTGCCCCTCCCTCCTCATACTTAGCTTCTTGTGCAGATCTATTCCACTCCCAACACTCTTCTTCTATTTGTTGATTTTTGTTGAAATTGGCACTTAAGAGGTAAAGGGTTGATTCTGTGTACATAGATTTGCAAAGGAACAATGGTATTAAGGTCTTTTTCTCATAACATTTGTGCTGTGAAGAAGAGGCATGTGATCTTTGCAGATGCAAATTCGCAGTTCTGAGAACTGTAAAACCAAGCATCTGTGAATAATATCTTTTAGACAGAAAAAAATGCCCAATAATCTTACAGAAACCTGTGGGAAAGCATGACATTGTGAATGGATTAATGGAATTAATTAGCCAGCCAATTTATACATTGCATGAAAACTTTTTATTTTCCCAATGTTTTAAGATCTGATTGTTTTAATGGGGGTTTTATTGTTAGTCGAATTTGTAGGACGCTGTGTTTCATTTTACATTTTGTATTGTTAAACTGTCCCAAGACTTCGGTAAGGGATGGTCGTTGTTGTTGTTGTTGTTAGTTGTGAAGTCACGTCCAACCCATCACGACCCCATGGACAACATTCCTCCAGGATGGGACGGTCTAGAAAAGGGACGGTCTAGACGGTGAAATAAAATGCTGACCCACTCTGCATTTTATTTCCGAGTAAGCATATAGGGCCCAGCATATGGGGAATATGCTGACCCACTCTGATCCACCACTGTGCATAGTTGTGGGAGGATTTAACCTTCCCCGCTGCCCTTGTTTTCCAAAAAGCCTGACCGGCTCACATGCAGGGGCTAGAAGAGAGAGAGAGAGAGAATGCGCATCTGTTGATGCTCTTTGTCCTTTTTAAAGCTGCTGTTCAGTGGGTGATGTGCAAATTTTAGAAAGCAAACAACCGGGGGAGGGAAATTTAAACCTTTCCTGCCTGCATATGGTGGTTCTAATCTGAATCACTTACTTGTGAGTTTAAAATAAAAGCTGCATGCTCCATATTTAACATTTTGTGACTCAAATTTTTAAGAAATACATATTAGGGAGACTGAATGTAAACACAAAATACTATTGATGATTCATAACATTCTTTGTGTATCTCCTTTCAGGATAGTATTAATTTGTGCTAAACGAACTTTGTGTGTGGCTTTTTCTGTCCTGCCCTACGGGGAGAGCCTGCGGATTAGGTGAGTAGTTCCTACTTTGGTTGGCCTGATAAATCTGTTTAAAACATGTTCCAGTGGTCACATTTGTGCCTTTCTGAGGACAGCAAATTGCTCAACAAAACCTGGTAGCTTAAGCACAGCTTGCCATTTTCTTAACTTGAAATTAAGTTGGAGATATTCAGCCCCTGTCTCCTCTGCCTTTGACCTGGCCCCTTTTTCTTTGGCACCTTTGCCTCTTTTGACACTAAATACAGTCCGTTGTATGTGTAGACAGAAAAAAAGTCCTACAATTCCCAGCATTCCCCAGCCAGCCATCCTAACCATGCTTAGGATTCGGCCTTAAGAGCTTTAAGGTAATATAATACAGGTATTTTTGGCCATACCCACTGCCTGAATACATCCTCTGAAAGTTTTTCCAAAATTAAAGTGAACCATTGGACTAAAAGAAGTTGAACACCCTCAGTTTTAGTGGAACACAAACAGAGCTTTTCAAGAAACAAATACCCTCTCTGGAGATTGAACTGCAGAAATCATTTACATACAAAAAATCTTTAAAGTGCTTAATTTTGGGAAATGGCTGTTCACTGTCCACCCTCTCCATTCCATTCATTGGTGATTTAGAAGGAAAAGTCAAAATGTTGAAAGGGTATAACTGAGTTTGATGGTTAAGCTAGAGAGTATGTTACCTTTTCTACTGAAAATTATGCTGCTAGGCTTTTTGGCTGCAATCACATTAACCTGGGAATAAGTTCTTTTGGGAATCAGACATTTTAAAACCATAATGTCAGTCCTTAGGCCTGTTGATACTTGTGCTAGAACAGGGGTTTGTATTTGTCATCAGCTTGATCACAAATGATTGCATGTACTTTTCTAAATAGAAAGGCAGTTCATGCATGTTAAGAACAAAGCAAATTCTGCTTAAAGTCAGAATGCTGTTAATGCAGGGGGTGGTGGCTGGGGAGCATTAGAAAGTCACTTAGGTTACAGCACACATGAAGAAGAGTAATTTGGAAAGCATTATGAAAAAGCTCTTTTGTTGTTAGTTGCGAAGTTGTGTCCGACCCATCGCGACCCCATGGACAACATTCCTCCAGGCCTTCCTGTCCTCCACCATC